CTCCGTCTATGAAAAGGCCGCCTAGGGCATCATTCCTGCAAAGCGTATGCTAGTGCCGGGATATAGTTCAAAAGGCGGCGGCCAGGAAAATCTTTTTTTGCAAGTTCAGAAAGAAAGAGAGGATGAGAAGCTCGCGGAGCGCCCTTCCAGCAGCTGTTTGTGTCACCGTCTGAGTCGAACTCCGTCTACGAAAAGGCCGCCGAGGGCGTCATTCCCGCAAAGCGTACGCTAGTCCGCGGTTATTGTACAGTTCATTCAAAAACTGTTCTGAATGTTGAATATAGTACTGGCGGCGCCTTTGATTCACCCACGCAAAATACAATAATTAGTGATAGTGAATAGGTGATTTTTAAAATCCAGTTTATTGAGATAAAAAATGAGAAACACTCAAGAGTGCAAGGCATCAAGCAAGTTGTGTAAATGATTTGATACTTGAATCATTTACTCTCGCTTTTAATATAAGCAGTTTTATACCTCTGCTCAGATATGTACTTGGTGAGCCCAAGGATGACTGAAAGCACCAAATAAATCATCAGCAAATATATTTTTTGGCTGTTGGCAGAGCGGGATATCGCCCTTGAGGTGATTCCCATCATCACATACGGAACTACCCCACCCAGCAGGGAAGGGGCCCACTTAAACACTTCTGTCTGGGGCATTGGATACAGCAGAAAATCACAAACCCTCTTCCAGAAGCCAGTGTGGGTCTCTCGCTGCTGTCAAAGAGGTTATAGTCAAAAGGTCACAAAAGGTAACGGTCTTCACATGGCTTCAGTGTTGCATCCCTGGCCTACATGACAGATTTTGCGTGTCTGGAGTGGGTGCGCTACGATGCAGCCTTTCGCAGGGTAGCGGCTATCGACCAGCAAATGGAAATGGTTGCACACCAAAGTCACGCTACACAACACGTGCTTTACTGGCATGGCTAGGTCAACAATCCGCTGTGAACTCTGTCCGGCCATGATCCACAGTGTGAGTTGCATGGGCGACTGGCCAAAACCTGGACAAACACGGACCGACTAAAGACCATGACGTCATTGTTACTGGCAATATCCTCTAAACCGGGAAAGGGCACGAAACCACCATCAGAAGAACAGCCGAACAGCAGCACGGGAACCACACAGGCCTCATAGATGCTTCTCGCTGCTAACGGATTCAACTGTCCATGAAATGCCCCCATAGCTCCGAAGGCAAAGAAAGCTCGTCTTGCATTCTTGATGGCTTCATCGACAGCTTTGGTGGCAGAGGTCCCAAGACCACCAGTATCCCAGACACTTTGCGCTGAGACGAGGTGTCAGAGTCTCACCTCCAAGGACAGCTATAGGTGCGGATTCCACTGGTTTGGAAGGAGAAACAAGCACAACCTCGCATTTGGTGGGATTCAGAGTCAGGTTCTGTACTGCAAAAGTCTGCACAGTTATCAATTTGCTCTTGTAAAGTAGCCCGAGATATATGCCATCAGCATGGATGAATGCACCCGCGTACATATCACCAATAGAAGGTCCCAATGGCTTACATTGTAGAGATTTTAGGAGCGGGTCCATAATCAGCAGGAAGAGAACTGGGGAGAGGACGGATCCTTGGAGAATTCCACGCTCTAGAGTGAACATGAAAGATAGAGAGCCATCGACCCTCACAGTGCTCTTTGGAGATGAATACCACCTTCGCAGCAACCTCCAAGCCCTGCTGTCAACGCCAGCTTCATACAGGCGTTTTAGGAGAACAGAGTAGTGAACGGAGTCGAACGCCTTTTGCAGGTCGTAGAAAAAAATTTACACTTTTTCGCAGCGTTGTGAGTACATGGATAGTACCTCCAATGTTAAGAATATAGATCCTGCACAGGAGACCTTTGCGGTAGGCTGTCTGATTGAGATGTGGTATACCTTTCTCTGAGAAATGACACTGCAGCCGTGTTAGTATGAGTGACTCCAAAACTTTGGCAAGCACTGATGTAAGTGTGATTCCTCGGTAACTGTGTCTATCTAGAGGATCCTTACCTCCTTTATACAACGGTGTTATCATTCCAATTTTGAGGGAGTCAGATACATGTTCCAGTTCTGTGATTGCGTTACATATTTGCAGAATCCAGTCTCGAAGAATTGGAACCCCATATTTTAGTTGTTCTATCTGCACCCCGTCGTGTCCAGCAGCCTTACAGAGTTTCAACTTCTTCAGGACACTATCGACCTCCTCAGACACGAAAGGGACATCTAGCAGGGAGTCCTCATTACTGAAGGAGTCGTGCATCATCTTATTGATATCTTCTTCTGGGGAGCACATGACCGAAGAATGCTCTATGCTGGCAGAACTAATTGCCCGAAAATGATCTTCCCATGCTGCTAGGATGGGGTTTGGGTCTGTAGCCACTTCTTGGTTGACACGCAGTGATGGACTTTGACGTGTCTGTGTTGAAGGAATCCTAAAATGACTTGAAGACTTCTGTTTGATTTTATTATCAAAACGTTCTATTCTCTTCCTTTCACTATTGGCAGCAAAGACTCTCCTCCTCTTTCTGAATTTGTTGTTGTTGTTGCTGTTGCTTTTATTGAGGGGCCCCTCCTTTTTGTAGACCACTTGTCCCAAGCTGCTTTCTTTGCAGAAGCAAGACGAGAAAGAGTCTTATCTTTATAAATAATTTATTTTCCTTCACCAAGCTCTTGCGCAGTGGAAGAGACTGTAGAGCGGCCGAGCAAATCTTCTCTGAAATGTTAGTTATTTCGTCATTTATCTCCTTAGCAGAGCTATACGATCGACCGATGAGAGGGGCCACAAAAGTTGATACACTCTTCTGATAGCCACGCAGATGTGTGCCTTTGAGAGCCTTGGCTCAATGTAATCTATTTTTGGTCAAATTCTCCTGAGGGATGGCTGTGGAAAGTGGAAACTGTAACATAGCTGTGATTGGCAGGTGGTCTGAATTGTTCAGAGGAGCGGGGTCATGTGTGAAACACTGCTGTATGTATTCTGTTGTATTGTGACTGACAAGTATGTAGTCAACTGTAGTTTGTGACACGCTATTCTGAAATGTAGGTATGCTGAGGGCCTTGGGAGAGGGATGTGAGTGACAGATTGCAGCGAGTGATGAGCTGGTGGAGGAGTATCCCCTGTTTGCTAGGTTCGCCAATGCCTCTCACACCACCCAGAACGCCTATGTAGATGGGCGTTGAAATCTCCCACGATTAGCATTGGACCTGAGTGCTGATGCTCAGATACAACTCTTTCTAGTTCTATAAGGTGCTCTGTGTAACATTCCATGCCCATATCCGAACAAGGCAGGTACACTCCAATAATGGTGATATCAGCTGCACTGGGGTGAAGTGACTTCACACGGAGACCACAAATGCGATGACTGGATATTGATAAGAGATAGCCGTTGCATTAATTTCCTTTCTCCACATCAACCCCACTCTCCTGCAGCCTCTTCTGAGAGTTTCATTCCCTGTAAGCCTTTCATCGGTCTCTATTTCAGCTGTAGTGACTTGCGGCAAGAAAGAAACGATCGCTTGATGTCTGTGCACACCGGCAAAATTGGAGACGTTCAGTGAAAAATCAGCGCTTTAACTGGTACTGGTAAGGAGATAGCGGGTTTAAAGAAGAAGAAGAAAATGATGATGACACAAAAATCGTAAAACAGTACTAAAACAGTACCGAAACAGTACTTGAACGGTGTATACAGTACCACCTAGACGGCCGGCAGACAGTACAGTGCCACGGCAGTGCTAAAACAGTAATGGAGCGTGCACACCAAGAACAGTAGTACACGGGCGGCAGTAAAAACGGGCGCACTATTCACCAGCACTGGGCGATGGATCAACGATACTCGTTGTCAGGAGGACCTGGCTGGGCTGTGGGTAACCCAACGAGCGTACTGTCCGCCGTGCCGCGGGTGCGTCGCGCGAGGGTGTGGCATAGCGTACCCCGACCCAGTGAGAAGGACCTCAAAGCTGTCTCCACACTATAGCTTATTTTTTGCTGTTGTATTAGCTCTGCACAAAGTGGAAGAGGGCGGGGCACGAGAGAGCCGAGCCACCTGCAAGAACACCTGTGCAAACCAGCTAGGCGGTCGTACACATGCACACATGGCGCGGGCGTTGCTATGTTCCTTTGACCTCGCCAACTAGGGAAAGGGTCTGGGGACGAGATTAGGGATGGCTGTACACACAGTGCGCATGCGTTGCTATGTTGCTTTGACATTGCAGCTTGCTGCTATGAAACTGCTATTTGCCAACATACCGCGACCGTACTAAAACAGTACCGCGACAGTACTAAAACAGTACCAAAACAGTACTAAAACGTACCGAAAGAGTACAGTAACAGTACTTATTGTGACTTGCGTGGGCGGATCAAAGGAGCCACGCATACTTTATTTTCCGTATTGTAGCACGCGTTCCAATATTGAACGTTCAATAAAAGAATTATTGAACCAGCATCAGCATCGTACCCATAGTGTAGACAAAAACTGTTCTGTAGAGGCTTTAGAGGCAGGGGATGACTGTTCTGTAGAGGCTGTAGAGGCGAGGGATGGCGGAGGCGACCACACCCCCCTTCATTCAGCTCCCAGTGGCAAGCGAGACCGCGGCCACGGCACACCGACCGGTCAAACAGCCCAGCGACCTATAAAACGAGTTTCTCTGAGGGAGAAAGAGCCACCATCACAACCTTGTTCGATTACGGTAGCCTCGAGAACAGAGAACTCGCCCGAGAAGCCAGTGAGTGCGCACGTGTGCATGGGTAGTAGGCTACGCAGTCGTATTACTCTCGCTGGAGGTCGACGACTGCTACAAAGTCACAATAAAACACATAATGTGCGTCCTATCGTTCTATACATGACTTATGGGAACTCGGGACGTATAGAACTCTAAACGCACATTATCTCTTACTTGCAGTCAGGTACTTTAACTTTTTAATGACCGGTACTGTATATACATTACATGATATTTTGAGCAAGTATATTTGACAAAAATGTTTATGTACCCAGTATGCTCTAAACAAAACTATACCTTCAGTACTGCTCTTTGATTCATAGCATAATTTCTTCTTAATCTCAATAGCAACATCTCCTTCCATAACAACATTCTGAATAACTTCCAGGAGCTCTTCCCATGAAGGGAGGGGGTCGTCTCTTTGTAGCCAGTTTATAATTGCTTCAATTAGTGATGAGTGGTCGTCACAGGGGTGTTCGATACAAAGCTTTTCTAATGTATCACGTTTTAATCCCAGGTATAGAAACAGCTCATACCATCTTGGTTGGATAGGTCGAAGTACATCAATTACTTCTTTGAGCTTAGGAACATCACACTGATAACCTAAAAGAAGTGAAAATAAAAACACCATTGCTCAAAAAGGTGTCAATAACTCCAAGAATAGGTGGACTGACTATCTTTCTTTATAGTTATAGTACAGTACGCGTAAAAAAACTTCCCATGAACACTCAAAGTAAACAGGGGTGCAACGGGGTGTGAATGGTCTCCAAAGGTTTGGTGGCACTACTGCCTCACTCTACATAACCGAATTAAGACATTTCAAAGGCTCCAGCATTCCTTTCCCACCAAACTTCAAAAGCTCTCCAACGAAACCATCACTACTGCCTGTTTTATTGTTTTTTGATTTTAATATCTTTCAACTCTATATCCCTATCTAAAATACCATCTCCAGATGATGCTGCCACCTGAATACTAAATTAATTCTCTCTTCAAATCCTTATCAAATGCTTCATCTACACTGCCTGAACCTAGACGCTGATAATGCTTATTTAATAACTGAAGCTTTCCTTTCGTGCAGGATAATATAGACACACTCCTCGATGAAATGCCCTTCTCCCTACGCTTTGTCCTCAAAGCTCATTCCTTCCTGTTCCCCTCAAAGTCCAAGTTTGCCCTTTCTACCACATCTTTCTAAATCCCATGGTTTTTTTCATTTGTTGAAGCAATATCAAATATTCCTCCCACAATTCCATCTGACTGTTGAATATCTTCTTATACACTTCCTAGTATTACACTTAATCTTAGCCTTGATTTCATCATCCCACCACCTGGCCGCTCTGTCATCTTCTCTCCTAGTACCACACTATTTGCTACACTTTCTGTCTCAGACGAACAGCAACTTTACAGTCAGTGCACTGCTTTGTTGGAGGCATAACTTGCCCACACAAAGAACGTCTTCTATCACAGAAGTCCAAATGGCTGCTAGTGTGCAGGTGGTCCAGTTTATAGACCAGCACCCGCGCTGCCACAACCGGTACACGTGACCTGTACATGTACGCCTACCCTGCTGGCCCCATCTATGCGTTTTCCTATACTATCTTGTTGTGTGCGTGGGCGTCCAGGCAGCTCAGCTTGGTCTTTGTACGATTCCCTCAGTTAACTTCAGGGGTCCGTAGTACGCTGAACGGGAAAACTTTACTCCGCAGTAAGCAGTGTTGATTTGCATATTGGCTTTTTCGCTCGTGTTTCACACTGTCACCAGTTTCAGAGAAAATGTTGCATACTTTTTACCTTTAGTCGACACTGAATATGTAGCATTGTTTGTTACCCTTTGACTCAAGGTTGAATCATCATCGTAAAACCTCTCTATACGCCACTTTCGAATCACATGCTCAAGCACTCCTGCCCGATTCCAACCATACCAAAAAGTGACAAGAGGATCCTATAAGAGTCTTGTCTTCCTGAACAAAATCTGAGTAATTACATAATCGAGCACTTAACTTATGATCAAGGCCTGCCTTACTCGTGTCCACTCAGACTCGATGTTAGCTGTCTACCATTACAAGTTCCACTTCGTTCCGAAGGGAAACCAACCTACTACCACCAGTATTGCAAGTCTCCTCCCCAAACATTCCAATTGCATTCTCCAGATCAAGAGGAGGTTGCGCACGTGTCATCGCTTGCATCACGTGCGCCTTAGAGATGTATGTTCGCCCACGCAACGCAGTCAACCCGCGGAGTCAGCACTTTCTGCAGAATGGCACACTGGCATTTGCAAGGCTACGAGTGTTCTCCATGGTACACACTTGGACATATAAATAATCGAGAGATAGCAAGGTCTAGCCAGAGTCACTTCCTTTCGCAACATCGCTATGAACGCTTGGCTGCCACAAGCCAGTTATCCCTGTGGTAACTTTTCTGACACCTCTAGCCTGAAACTCTCAGAGACTAAAGGATCGATAGGCCATGATTTCACAGTTTGTATTCGTACTGAAAATCAAAATCAATGATACTTGATTACATTATAACCGCATGCGCAGACAGCTCAGGAATGTTGATTGTGCGCAACCTCATCCGCTCCAGATCTAAACCCTAGTATTGAAAAGCACAAACCTCCCTGTTTAAATTAAGAACATCATTCTTTATCCTACCAGATGCACTAATCACTAAGTACGGTAGTACTTAGTATATAGGGATGACACAGGTTGTCCTGCTTAATGTACATACATTTGAGATTTTCATGTTTCACTTTCTATTTCAAACTTTTGACACATCAGACTAATTTGCATCGTCACAAAGAGCATGTATCCAAGAAATAGCTTAAATCGCATAATCGCTACATCATTTTTTCAAAAAGTCACAGTTCAATTTTCTTGTTGTTGTTGTTGTTCAGTTTCAACAAGTGTATCTCAAAATCCAGGTAAGATATGGAGATTAAACTTTGCACAAAGATTGGAATCCATGACAGGTCGTGGAACAGCATTTTTTTATTTCTTCGTAAACAATTTTGTAAAGAACAACAAATAGCCCCAGGCAATACATTATTATAGAGACAAATAAAGTGGGCTAACTGGGTAAAGCTAATACCCAGAGTGATAAAACTTTGTACACATAATTACAACCCATCTTTAGTAGTAAGTTTGAACAAACATCCTCAGGCAATAAAACTTGTAAATGGTGTCTGTGCCTATAACTTGCTTATGGTGGGTCCTCTAACAATGAAACTTGGTACACCGATGTACCATGATGAGAGTTGATTGAAACAGAAATTACAGGTTTGTAAACAACAACAAAGAGCCTCAGGCAATAAAAACTTGTAAACTATACTATTGCCTATAACTTGCTTATGGTGGGTCCTCTAACAACGAAAATTGGTACACTGATGTTCCATGATAACAGTTCATCGGAACAGAAATTACACGTTAGTAAACAACAACAAACAGCCTCTGGCAATGAATACTTGTAAATGATGTTTGTGCCTATAACTTGCTTATTGTGGGTCCTCTAACAATGAAACTTGGTACACTAATGTACCATGGTGAGAGTTCATCGAAACAGAAATTACAAGTTTGTAAACAACAACAAACAGCCTCAGACAATAAAATGATGTTTGTGCCTATAACTTGCATATTGTGGGTCCCCTAACAACGAAACTTGGTACACTGATTTACAACAATGAGAGTTCATTGAAACATAAATTACAAGTTTGTAAACAATAACAAACAGCCTCAGGAAATAAACACTTGTAAATGATGTTTGTGCCTAGCCTGTAACTTGCTTATTCCCGGAAGGAAGCTTATATAGCTAGGCGATCAAAATCCCACTGCTTACTTTTTAAAGTTCTGTCCTCCAACGTAGCGCTCATAGGCCAACAATTCCGGGGATTATATCTAAGACAGGAACTGGCGGTTTTCACGCTTCTTACACTTCCTCAAAGCGTAAAGCGGTGTGCGCATGCGTACGTTTACAGCGATATCTATTACCTACTCGAGCTGAGGCGGCTTGAAACAGCAGAAGCTATTAGCTTCTGCTGTTTAAATCTACCAGGTGTCCCACGGTGCTGCCTCCGCGAGACTAGATGACCTGGTCGCGAGACTGTTAGAGTAAGCCACCGATAATCGGACGCCATGTATTCTCGGACGCATTTGTGAAGTCTGTGCAGGACTAGATTTGCTATTGTGTATACCAAAGTGTAGTTCTTGGTCATAAATTGTTGTATAAAAATATTCGCTCTTATCCGAGCTTTACCGTGGGAATGACGTTGCCGTAAAGTTACGCAGCAAAGAAACCCTCGCAACAGCTGAGGGCCATGTCCCAACAACTGAGTAACTCTGAACCCTACGAGAACTTCTAGACCTATCCACTTTATTCCATTGTCTTTATTATTATTATTATTATTTATTTATTTTTAACAAAAAACAAAACCCCCAAAAAAACACAAAAAACAAGCGCATCAATGGTAGGACAGTCTCCCAAAACGGGAACAGTATGAATGATCCAAGCGAGTGTATGCTCGATTGATAGCTGTACCTTTTGGCTATGCAGCGACCAACAAATGGCCCTTTTTTGTCGTCGCTCTTTTTGCTCACGAAAGCGCGGTGTCGAGTAAGCCGCGTTTTACGCGAAAAGCAGTTCGCGGCTTGTTTCTTCTAACGCACGTGCCGTATGAAGCTATAATTTTTTTATTCTCGTTCTTCTTGCCTTATACTAGATGCTTGCACCACGATTTCCGTTTTTGTAAGATTTTAATTTTTTGGTAATTACCAATAAATAAAGTTAGATCTAACAAAAACGGAAATCGTGGTGCAAGAACGAGAATAAAAATTTTGAGCTTCATACGGCACGTGCGTTAGAAGAAACAAGCCTAGCCGCGAACTGCTTTTCGCGTAAAACGCGGCTTAGCGAAGACAAAAAAGGGCCATTTGTTGGTCGCTGCATAGCCAAAAGGTACAGCTATCAATCGAGCATAGACTCGCTTGGATCATTCATACTGTTCCCGTTTTTGGGAGACTGTCTTACCATTGATGCGCTTGTCCGATCTTCGCTGTGCCCGAATCGTAACTTTACGGCAACGTCATTCCCACGGTAAAGCTCGGATAAGAGCGAATATTTTTAGACAACTATTTATGACCAAGAACTACACTTTGGTATACACAATAGCAAATCTAGTCCTGCACACACTTCACAAATGCGTCCGAGAATACATGGCGTCCGATTATCGGTGGCTTACTCTACACCCAAACAGATATACTTTGCCCAGTGGCTTGCCAGAGCAGATCAATGTCACCATAAATTGGACTTCGTCGGATCCAGCATACCGGCATAGGCTACTTTACTCTCTCAGGCAAAGAGCAGGCTAGGCCGTTTATCAACGTTAGAATAGAAAACACGCGCATGCGCACACCGCTTTGCGAAACAAAGTTCATAGTTCATGTTCGTGTGCCAGTCCCAACATGGAGAAAATTGCGGATGTACAAGCTTCTGCTACAGTTGACTGGAGCCCCCTCGGGGATATTTACGTGAAGTAAGAACTGTAAAAAGAACTGCAGTAGCTACTCAGTATAATTATAGGGATGGTCGTCATCATAGATGTAACTTATGGGGCTATGATAAGTTTTCCTATATTCTTCTGCTCCCTCTTCAGATTCAACCTCTATAAGAAACAACATAATTATATTAATGAAATCCGTCACCAGAAGAGACTAGTCATACCTTTTTTGTAAACAAATTTTTTACTGTAAACCATGTAGCTAAACATGTACAAGTAGTCATGGAAATTATACGCATGCGTACCAAGTGTGTATCGTGGTACTATTAGCAAGTTGGAGGAGTGAACTTTCTGAGGCTACTTGTTGTTTACTACAAACATGTATTGTTGTGATTTTGATGTTGGCGATTGAATGTATTGTCCAAGTTTCGTTTACTCACCTCATACCAATTGTTATTTAAGCTTGACACATATGTGCCCATTATAACGTGCTTGTGTGTGTAAACAACAACAAATAGCCTCAGGCATTTTCCTTTAAAATTAGTTCTTCACTCCTCAAACTTGCTAACGGTAGAACACGTTGAGATAAAACAATTAGTATGCATGCGTGTTACATGACATTTTTTATAGGCTCCTTTCACGGAGATGTACGTTGTAGTATAGAAATCCAAAAAGAGGCATATATGGATGGTGTAAGAAGAATGGGAGACAATAGAGATGGGATACATAAAGCATGGTTAATGAACAGATTTGAGCACACTGCCACTCCTGACCCCACCTGGCACACCAGGCAAAAATATTGGTATTGTGTGATATGGTCGGGGATGTCAACGTGCTCAAATATGTTCGTTAACCATGCTTCATGTATTCCATCCCTATCTTTTCTCTCTTTCTTTATCATCCCTATAATTAAATTGGCAGGATTTTAGTGTAATTGAAAGTTACATCATGTGTTCAGTCACCAGCATCAAAAACACAACAATACCCTGGGAAATTTTTACTCTTAACTTCTCAAAGGAGCTAATGTAAGAGCCATGGAGATTAAACTTGGTGCGCATACGTATTTCATGACGACTACATTTTCCCATGACTAAACAAAAACAAATAGACTCAGGCGCACTCACTCATACATGGAGAAGAAACCTGCTGCGCATGCATATTGCATTTTTTTCATGTTTTTAAAGCCTCAGGCAGTATGCTATAAAATTTCCTCTGCCCTCAAACTTGCTAACCACACATGGAGATGAAACTTGGTACGCATGTGTATTACATCATTTTTAGCTTCAGGTAAATTACTACCTCACTCCTACAAAAACTGTAGCACACATGGAGTTGAAAATTTGCACGCATGCTTATTGCATTAAATCCGCATGTTTGTTCACAACAACACTAATTAACCCTCTGTGCGCATGCGCAGCGAGGGTTACTGTAGTTGGGTCTGTCTGTCTGTGTGTTGTTACTCAACATCTCACTTCTCCAATGTTCTTTCGTCTCACAAACGATACGACTTACTTAACGGGAAAACAGGAGACTCTCTGCGAGCTACTAGCGGGAGACCACGAGTAAAAGCATACTAATAGGCGATAGCCAATTAACAGTATGGCGCAAGCGCAGTTCGCCGAGGGTTTGCACTTTAGTGCTTTTCATTGCCTCAGGCACTTTTCTTTAAAACAACTTCACTTGTTAAACTTGCTAATGGTAGTAAGCATGGAGAATAATCGGGTATTACATTGCCTTCATCTTTAAACAAGGCAGTCTATTTTTGAGGGGGCTCGTTTCTTTTCGAGTAAATTCCCGTGAACAAGGAGACAAGATAGGTATGTAATACATGAAGCATGGTTAACGTACAGTTTCAAGCACGGCGGCATCCCCTACCCATCACACAATCCTTCTATTGTTTCGTAGGTGGAGTATTAAACATTCACCATTATCTGTTATAGTTTGGAAGTGCAGGTACAATGTAAAATGGTGAAAGATGTCATTCTAACAACCACCGTATAGAGTCAAAATGGAGTAAAGAGGGGCACGGCACACGAGGCAAAAATATAGGGATGGGTCGGGGGTTTAAGCATGCTCACATATGTTCGTAAACAATGCTTCTTGTCTCCCAACCGCATCTTGTATCCTTCAAACTAACTTCATGGGTTGAATTCTGCTATGCCAAGGAACACAAAAATATTTTTTCGTACTGTTTTAATTCAGTAATAATATGTGCATGAGTTCGGGTCCCATACAATTAAATAGAGGTCGCACATGCATCCACTCATATGTGCGCAATTGCATTCTATGGTTTTAGTTTAACAACTCGATTGAGCAAAAATCCTGCATGTTTTGTTCCTTGTAAATGAAGCTGACATGATAATTATGTTACTGAGGAAAAATCCGAAACTATATTTTTCTTCCTTTGCAAAGTAGAATTTAACCCATCAAGTTTGTTATTGCTAATGTTGCCCTGTGGCAAGACCTAACAATACTAGTGTGTGTTTTGTGCTTGCTGCTTACATGCATGCTTCTTAGTTTTCATGGTTCATCATTTTCTACAGAAAGACTGTTCATTATCATCTTTCATGGGACAAGAACCTTGACCAGTGTAGTGTTGCTATTGCTCCATATGGAGGACCTATTGGTAAGACTCATTATGATGATGCTGTTTTTCATGAACTAAAATGCTTTAGTGCATAGCTGATTTAAATCGAGCAATCTGATTGTTTCACACGAGGTACTTCATTTCCCATAGTATGCCTGGGACGCTCCGTAGTAAACCTTGTTTTTCATGTAAAATGTTCACATGAAAATGACAATATGATGTACACCATCTGCAGAAACATGTAGCTTTATCGTCTACAGTAATTCTTTTTTTAGTTTCAGCAGTATGCACAGAGAGACAATAAGTCTGGGCCTAGCGATACGTAAGCGTCTGTACGCTAGCGCTAGCGGTACGTCACGCCCGCGGATACGCGTGAGTAGAGTAGGCAGAGCCCTTTTCCGCGAAGCGCAGCGGACGACGAGTGCTGTAGCTTCCGCTTACCGTTTCTGGCTCGCTGATGGTGGCTGAAACCTCGCTCGAGTCTCTTACCAATCGCGTGTTCATGTTCATTCGAATTTCAGTCGCCTGGAAACGGGCGCTGTGCGTGTGCGGATTTGTCTGCTGTACACTTAACATGTTAGTTACTCCGTATACTCGGGAACTACTGGATTTCACTGAACCCTCGGGCCATTCGCGTGGTTGCCCTCGCTGCGCTCGGGACACTACAACACGGAGACCCTCGGGGTCATTGAAATCCCGTAGTTCCCTCGAACGGAGTAACTTACTTATGAAATTATGTGTTTCTGTATCCGTTGATCTAGTTTATAATGCTAGTATCAGTCCATTATGCAGTGCTATCACCATTAATGAAAATTAAATATCACTAAGTACGGTAGTACTTAGTATATAGGGAT